AAGGTTTATTGCAGTAAAAAAATTCAGATATAATTTTGACTCTCCAAGTTTTAACTACTAATAGCCTGCTGTTGAACAGACGCCTTAGTGATGACTTCAGTCGACTAAAACATAGTTTGTATGTATTACATACTGTATTCTTTCAATAAAGAGAAATGTTATTAAGAAAATCATAAGGAAGAGAAAATAGATTTACAGTACTCACTCCTTTTCTGTTTTCTCTTTTCCTTCCTCATCCCCCATATCTGACAATATTTCTAAGAGGATGAAAATGCTTCCATAGAATTTTCATCTTACTTTTTGCTATCTATATTTATGAGCTTCTCATGAGTCAAGACAAATATTAAACTTACATTTTCTATACTACCAAAATCATATGTTTAATCAAGCAATAAGATTTGGTGTTCCTCCACCCATCCAACAACAAAAATCAATCACCTCAGAAATTAGGAATTCCTAAAATAACCTGATAGACTACCTACATTAAATTGTATGTAATACAAAAAACTAGTGCACTATAATTTATTTTCCCCTATTAAAAAATGCTGATAAAATCATTTATTATTTTTTAAAGTTTTTTGAACATTTAACCTAAGTTATTATTCAAGCATAATCATTTAAGATATATAACTATAAAAATAAAGTAATTTAAACATAATACTATAATTTCTCAAAGATTTGCTCTTTATTTATCTGGCTACTGCACATTTAAAGTTGGATTTTCCATTTAAAGACAAACATTTTAAAAAATAAGTTTTAATGAAAATTTTAATTTCTGCTATATTTTCAGGAAGAAAAGTATCAGTATAATTGTTAAATCATAGAATGTAGCTTTATTAGTATAATTTGAAAACTAGCAAAATCGACTTAAAACTGAACATTTAGCATTAATTTTATAGTAAATTTGGACAGATCAATGTCTTATCTAGTTTACAACTAAATATATATATATCCTTTAAAGCCCTTTCTTAATAATTCAGTCCTATAGCTATTAGCACATATCCCTGGAAACTGGTACTATTTGTCACTTAAGAAGTCCTTTAGCCCAGTTAATTCCCAAAGGTAAAGAAGCTTTCATAGTAGCTGAATCACTTCCTTTGGTAAACATTTAACATATGTTCACTATAGCCCCTGGAATTCTAAAAGAATGCTGTTCTTTTTCTTTCACCTTGCTCCAGAAAGATGGCATAGTTACAATGTAATTTTTAAAAAAATCAAAGTAATTTCCTACCAGAAGCAGAAGTGGTATCCTCATTATCATGTTTTTCATGCCATTCCATAGTCCTATAATAGCTGAGCATAACTTCCCACAGTGCTTTGCAAAGGTCAGCAAGGCATGGAATATAGCTGTCTGATGTAATGTGCTGAAGAAAATGAGAAGAGTCAACTTCCAAATTATTACATCTACTTTAACACAAAGTAAATCAAAATAAACTTATGTTATTAAAAAAATTTATTCAAGAATTAGACATGATTAAGAAAATTTCTTCCATTGGCATATATAAAGAGAAAGTTCAATGGAAAGAAAATACTGTTCAAGTAATTCTAATTTCAACATAGCTGTTAGTATTCGGAAGGGATATCAGTTCATTCAAATTAGAATCAGAGAATCAGAGTATAAAAACTATTGAATTGACAAGTGTTCTCAAAGGTGGCAATGTAAACTTTCCCAAATGTATTTTTTCAAGGACCTTGTTCTGAGCATGTAAACACAGCTTTATATTCATCCTTGGAGCTGAGTAACAACTTAAAAAAAGAGGTCAGATTTACAATTCAATCACTGCATTTGTGAAACATCGATGAGAGAGAACCATCAATTCAGCTGCCTCCTGCACATTCCCTACTGGGGATGTGCCGGCAACCAAGGTACATGCCCTTGACTGGAATTGAACCTGGGATCCTTGAATCCGCAGGCCGATGCTTATCCACTGAGCCAAACCAGTCAGGGCAACTCTGCTTTATAAAAGCATCAGTTCTGCCTTTTTCCCCCTGCAGGTAGAATGATGTCTCCATTCTATTTTGCAGGCTTCCTATCTGTTATAATGCAGCATTTGCTCCATCATTTGGGATTTTGTAGCATTTCTTCAGTTTGTAATCAGCCCGTCACCACTAATCATGCTTCCAGAACACTAAAAGGTTAAGACTCTGGTGTATGCCCTCCAAGGTAAATAGCAAGGAGAAGTAAGCTATATACAGCAAGTACAGGGACAGTGTGATTGAGGCTCAGGATATCACAGCTGGTAATGATCCTCCCCTTTCAAAAGTTTTTTAATCTCCATAATGACCTTTCCCTCCTCTAAACTCATCTAGCAATTAATAAAAATACTAACTTGTATGACTCACTATATTTTTGTGTAAGCATAGCGAATCTCTGAAACTCAACTAGGAAGTAGTAAAATAAAGAAATTGTTAAGCTCTGGAGTCAGACTGCCTCAGTGGGGTTCATGCCAAGAATGGTAATTCAATCTTATAAAATCTGTTAATATAATTTGCCATATTAATTGGTCTAAAGAAAACTTCTGACAAAAGTCAACAGCCATTACTAATAACAACTCATCAGAAAATAAAAATGATAGATATTTCCTTAAATGAGGAAACTCCATAAGGCAAACCCACTGTGGTCAGAACAAGAAAAAAATGTCCTCTATCTCCAATAATATTTAACAATGTACAAAAGGTACTACCAGTGCAATTAAACTAAAGAAAACAATTAGTAGGAAAAGAAAAAATACAACAATTTCTATCTGCACATGACCTAATAATACTGAAAATCCCTAGGAAATCAATTATACAGCTAACTCAAACAATAAAAATATCCAGCAAGGTAGCAGGATATATTTATCATGCAAACAAATAGCATTCATATACACAAATAATAACCATTTAGAAGACACACTGAATGAGAAACCTCCATTTACAATAACAAAACATAAAAAATGTTTAGAAATAAGCTTAACAAGAAATGATCCAAAACTCTATAAAGAAAGCTGAAAGACATAAAGTAGATTTGAAAATAGAAAGATATTCCTTATTCTTGGTTGTGATGTCTCAACATCATCAAGATGTCAGTTCTGCCTGAGATAAATTTGAATTTCCTGAGACATAAATTAAAAAGTCCAGAAATAGATCCAACCTGATGTAAAAATATAGCATATAATAAAGATAGCACATCACTTCACTTAGGTGAAGATAGTCTTGTCATAAACAGTGTTGGGACAACTGCAATAAGACAAATGTAAACTAAACTATAATGATACTAATTCTCACCCATAAGGTTGGTAAACATTGTAAAGATGACCACTGACAAAGATTCTGTCCTTGACCAAACTCTAGCCAGGCTCCACTGAGCCCTCTTCTCTATTAGGTTTCAATCTTGGTCTATAAAGATTTGAACAAAATATGAATATAGTCTCCTAACGGCACAGGAGGCATCCTTAGGATGCCCCTAGTCCCTTTAAACTGCCTGCCTGAGAAAATTCAAGGCTGCCAAAAGAATGTACTATTTGTTCCAGCTAACATGGGAGATAGGGCCCCTGTCCTCCAGCCTTGGAGGGTGGGAGCCTAACTTCAGTAAGCCCCAGTTAGCAAAACACAGTTGGTTTCACATGGACCAACCACCCCTTCCAGCTTTTTGTAATTTTTCGCTTCCTTGACTCTACTGAGCCTCCACTCACTCCCTACTCCCTCATTCTCTCTTTAAAATGCCCAGTCACCTCAGTTCAAATGGAACTTGAGTTCTGCCAGACTCTTTTCCTTACTCCAATAATATAGTATTGACTAAAATGTTCTTACCACTTTAATTAGTATGTGTCCACCTTTGCTTATCTTTGATAACATATATACTCTGTTGGCAAGGCTGTGAAAAACATAGGTACTGTCATTCATATATTGCTGGTGTGAATGCAAAATGGTACAACTCTATGGAGAATTTGGCACTAACAAAACTACGTAATTTCCCTTCAATCCAGCAATCCCACTTCTAGGAATTAACCCTTAAGATGTATCTTAAACAATGTGAAAATATATAACATGAAGTTACTCATTACAAGAATATGTGTAATTGCAAAATATCTGAATCTATCTAAATGTCCAAATATAAGAGACTGGTCAAATAAACTATCATTCATATACAAAAGAGCACTGTACAACTGTGAAAAATAATTATAAATAGACACATGCATTTTCTTAAATTTTATAATTTAAAAAATCCCTTTCATATGACATATATCCATGAAAGGGAATTTTAAAAATTTTTATATATATGTAATGAGAAAAAGAAAAATTTAATGCACATAGCTTCTTATCATCACTAAAAGAAACAGGGAAAATAAGCAACAAAGCATTAAAGTTAGTGACCTACAAGAGGTGGAGTGAGATGAAATGGAAGGAACATGGGAAGGAGTGACACTTCTCTGAGTATACAAATTGGATGTAGGTACCTATTTACAAACGAATTAGAATGGCTACCCAGATTTACAAATAGCTTGCAGGGAGCAATATAAAATATTTTTGCATACTTATGCCATAAATTTGAGGTAATTTTTATCTTTACTTTTCATATCTATTTTTATAATTATTAACGTTACAATAAACCAGCCTTGAATTTTTTCCCTTGTTTTATCTTTACCATACAATTACACCTAAAATATCTCTTACATAACATACATGAAATACACTGATACTGATGAGGAAGAAGCTAAAAGCAGAAGGCAAAGAAACGCAGAAATCACAAATAAGACTGGTCATGGCTGCTCAGTGGTTGAGCGTCAACCTATGAAACAGGAGGTCATGGTTCAATTCCAGGTCAGGGAACATGCCTGGGTTGTGGGCTCGATCCCCAGTAGGGGGCTTGCGAGGAGGCAGCTGGTCAATGATTCCCTCTCATCACTGATGTTTCTATCTCTCTCTCCTTCTCCTTTCCTCTCTGAAATCAACAAAAATATATAGTTCTTAAAAATCACAAATAAGTTCTGGGCTGCAACTCAGCAATCATTTCACCTGAATAAAGGTACTCTCCTATTAAGTCAATTTTTTAACTTTCATAAACTCAACTTTGCATAAATTTATATTTATAGCATGTAAACAAATATAATCTAATTATATCCCAACAGACTTTCTGGTAGATAAATGGAAGGCATGCACTCCATAGGCAATCACTAGTTCCAGAGTACATTAGAAACATCCTAACCCTAACCCTAACCATATGTTGTCTTCCTCTCATGCCATTGTTCATGGTATTTCCTCTCTACCCATGGACCCAGCTACATACATTGGGCTTGTTGAAATCCAAGCCCAAATTCAAATGTTGCAGAATCCTCTTAACAGTAAGATAGCTTTGACTTCCGTAGATTCCTTAAAGAACTATGTTGATACCACTTTATGTTGTTTGACCTTTTCTTATTCTACCTCTGATCACAATTAATGTGATCTTTCTGTGTCATAAGCTCTTTAAAGCCTTATTTACCCTTGCTGAGCTGAACTGATTACTTGACTAACAAGAGCTAAGTAATGACAACTTAGCAAGTCAAAGTGCTAAGAAAATGGAGTCTGTCTTCTACTAGCATTCATGAAATGGTAACAGACTAGCTTATTAGTGTGCAAGCAGGATAAAATTTCAGACCCCAAAAGTTCTTCACAATCCAGAGAGTAAATGGCAGGGAAAAATGAAGAGATGGATAAACTTCCCTTCATTATCTTTTGATCATTAAATCTTGAATATTAAAAATTGCCATAAACTACTTTTAATATTTCATAAACAGTTAGAAATCAATACATAATAACAAAATGAGTTGGGTGCTACATATATGTGATAATAAACCTGATATTTGAATTCTTAGAGTGTTCTGAAACTGACCTGAGAAAGCACTCAAGTAAGTAATATTATTCCTTTAATTAAAAAGGTTTCTCTCTTTGACCACATGTTCAAATTTGTAGCCTCCAGTAAGAAAGGAAAGGTACATTCACCTATCCAACCAAATTAACCTCAACAGTTAATGAACTGTCCCAGTTTAACTGCCTTCACATCCTAACTACGCCTGAATGATATACAAATTATTTCTGATATGCTACTTTCTGGTATCTGATAAGCTATTAAATACAAAATAACCATCAGGTGTACAGAGAGAGGGATAAAAGCAGACACTACTGATGAGGAGTGTAAACTGAAACACACTTTCTAGAGGGCAATTTTGGAAACACACCAAAAGCCTTAAAAATGTAAAGCCTGACACGCAATTTTATTTCTTGTTATTTATCCTAATGAAATAACTAAAAGGTGCAAAGATTTAGCTTTAAGAGTATTTACTACAGTGTTATTCATGACAAAAGCTGGTAATAACATAAATATCTAAGAATAGGAAATCAG